TGAGGTGATGGTGGGGTACAGCCTGGGCTGCTCGGTGGTGAGGTGATGGTGGGGTACAGCCTGGGCTGCTCAGTGGTCCCCGTTCTGGAAGGGACAGTGTCTATTCGACATTCTGGAAACAGCACCGAGAGCTAAGAAGACAGACTGCCTGGAAGAGGCTATTCCTGGGACACAGAAAAACACAATAGTGGCCCATCATGTGCAAAATGCCTTCATGCTTATTATTTAATGCATTCCATACCAAGTTGTCCTTTGACCTTGTCATAGTTTGTATACGCTTGGCCCAGGGAGTGGCACTATTAGAAGGTGTGGTCTTATTGGAGTGGGTGTGTCACTGTGGGTGAGGGCTTTAAGACCCTCATCCTAGCTGCCTGGAAGTCAGTTTTCCACTAGCAGCCTTCAGATGAAGATGGAGAACTCTCAGCTCCTCCTGCACCATGCTACCTGGATGCTGCCATGCTCCCGCCTTGATAATGGACTGAACCTCTGAAGCTGTAAGCCAGCCCCAATTAAATGCTGTCCTTATAAGAGTTGCCTTGGTCATGGCATCTGTGCACAGCAGTAAAACCCTACCTAAGACAGACCTCCATACTCACACTGTGCCATGAACACCCCTACATACACTGCAAGGTTAAATATTATGGTTTGTTTCTTTATTTATTGTATATGAGTACACTGTAGCTGTTGTGAGCCACCATGTGGTTGCTGGGAATTGAACTTAGGACCTCTGGAAGAGCAGTCAGTGCTCTTAACCACTGAGCCATCTCTCCATCCCCTATTATGTTTATTTTATACGTGTGTGTTGTATACTGACGTGCACAGATGCGTCTGTGTGTGTGCACCTGTAAAGGTCAGAGGTCTACACAGGGTGCTTTCCTCTATTTCTTTCCACATTTTGTTTGTTTTTGAGACACGTTCACTGACCTTGAATCTCACTGATCTGGCTAAAACCGGAGCTACATTGTTGTTTTGTTTTGTTTTGTTTTAACGTGGGTTCTGTGGATCTGAACTCAGGTCCTCAAGCTTGTGCACCAAGTGTAGTCACTGAGCCACCTCCCCAGCCCTGAGTTCTCTTTAGTCTACAGTTGGGAAACTGAGGCTTAGGAAAGTCAGACTGTTTGCCTGAGGGCACAAGGTTCCATCCATCAAAGCACGTCACTGAGTGCTGCACCCCAAACCTGAGATGTCTCCTGTAGGCTGGCCATGTGGCTCACTTGGGAGAGCTCTTGCCTAGCATGCATGAAGCTGTGGGTTCCATCCCCAGCGCTGCCCCAAACCAGCCATCGTGGGCCACTCCTGCAATCCCAGCACTCAGGGTGGAGGCAGAAGGTCATGGGTTCAAGATCGTCTAGTCTGAGATCAATGGAACTGTAAGAGACCCTGTCTCAAGACAAAAGGAAATGAAGAGAACTCAAATCCTTTCCGGGGCTACTCAAGACTCAGAGGTAGCTGGGATGTGGTTAAAGGTTGGGACCACTTCCAACTGTGTTACCCAGCAAGTTATTTAACCTCGGTAGGCCTCAATTTCCTCTAAACAAAATGGGGTTGATAACCACTCCATCAGTTCTTGAGAAGATTAAAGATAGCAAATAAAGTGCTGTACTTAGAGGCCTCCAAACATAGTAATTAGCTACAATTATTATAAAACCCTTGCTGATTCTCTTGATCTCTGAAAATAACCAATGTTTTTGTTTGTTTATTTTGTTTTTTTTTTTTTTATTTTTTAACTTCTAGGTTATTGAAATTCTTTTGGAGATAAGGTCTTACTATGTATAGCCACAGTTAGCCTGGAATCTGCTACTTAGATCACACTGGTTTCAGCTTTGAAAGGATCCTCCTGCCTCTGCCTCCTGAGTGCTGGGATTGTCAAAGTGTCCCACCATGCCTGCCAGCTTGAGTTTCAACAACTGAGTTGGATTGTGGTGGCTCAGGCTTGTAATTCGAGCACTAGGGAGGCAAAGGCAGGGAGATTGATGAAAGTTTGAGGGCCAGCCTGGTATACAGAGCTGAGTTCCAGGCTAGCTTGAGCAACATAGTAAGATCCTCACTCAAATAAAACAAAACCAACAATGACCAAACAAACAAACAAACAAATTAAAAAAAAAAAAACCCTCAGCACTTGGGAGGCAGAGACAGGCAGATCTCTGTGAGTGTGAGGCCAGCCTGGAACAAACTGAGTTCCAGGTCAGCCAGAGCTATTACACAGAGAAACTCTATCCCCTGCCCCCCCCCAAAAAAGCCAAAAAAATAAAAAAATAAAGGAGGGGGGAGTCCCACAACTGAAAAAATCTGCTGTAGTATATCTCAACACACACAGACGCACACACACACACACACACACACACATGCACACTCCACATCAAATCTGGCTCATAACAAGTGTCTACAGAAGGTAAAACCAGACACGGACTACCAGTGTCCTTGCTGGATATTCCCTGGGCAACTAGGAAAAATGTTACTTACAGTTGGAAACATTCAAATGCCTAATTTCTATCACTCTATATTAAGTTCAAACTTTAAAAAACATTTTTAAAGTAATTTTTGAGGCCTGGCGGTGGTGGTGCACGCCTTTAATCCCAGCACTTGGGAGGCAGAGGAAGGCGGATCTCTGAGTTCAAGAGTTCGAGGCCAGCCTGGTCTACAGAGTGAGTTCCAGGACAGCCAGGGCTACACAGAGAAACCCCGTCTCGAAAAACCAAAAAAAAAAAAAAAAAAAAGTAATTTTTGGTGTCTGTGTATGGAGGGGTGTTCAGGGCACAGCTGGAGTATGGAGGTCAGACCACAGCCTGGATGGGTTGGCTCCCTCCCTGGCACAAAACTCAGGTGGCCAGACCAGTTGGCAGCAGCCTTTACCCCTTAGCCATCTCCACTGGCCAAAAGCTCACACTTTTATGTCTAACTTACCGATTCAGTTTTAAGTTATCAGAGATTCTCAAAGTGTTGGATGCTATAAAATACCTCCAGTTTATTTTCTTCTTTCACTTTAAAAATAATAGAGGTTTCTGGGGGGGTTGGAGGGGGCAGGAATGCCCAAGGTTAAACGCAAATATCCTTTTTTAAAAAAGGATCTTCAGTTCAGAAGATCTGACAAATAAAAAAAAAGCCCCAAACCCTGTAGACACTGAGAGGTCTTTCCTCTGAGAATGGCGGTCTTTGCTCCCCTTCCCGGGGTACAACTCCCCCCTTTCCCCCTCAGACACAAGAAGGGGATCCAGGGGTCTCAGAAACAAGAGGTGGATTAAAGGTCCCCTGGGGTGAAAAGGCTTTCTTCCGTACACGGTCCATTTATAGAACACGCGGGCCCTCCCTATCTCTTCCATCTTTCCTACTCACAGAACACGACAGGGGACCTGCCTCTGGCTGAAGTCAACTCGAGCTTCAAAGTAGAAGCCAGAGTAGAACAAGAAAATCTGCCCGGCCAGCTTCCGCAGTGGGATCCCAAAGGTTGTACTCTCAGAAACAGATTTTACATGCAGATGAATTGATGACTACACACCCCGCGCCTCGCAACTTGACTCAGTCCGATCAATACAGCATGCATAAAAGCTTGAGGGAAAAGTGGATAGTGGCTTTTTGTTGATAACCGCGGTGGAATTTTGGCCATCTGCCCTGCTCAGACCAGACAAATAAGGCGGTCTGCTTATTAGCTGTCAGGCATATTTTGGAGGGTGAAAGCAAAACCTCAAAGCAGGATTCTGAGTATCACTGGACAGCTTATCCCGACACGCAAGGGTCTTACAGTCCAAGCGCCTCAATTCCTACCCCAGACTGCGTGTCCCCGTTCCTCCAAACCCCTGGGGCACTTTCCAAGTTGGACCACACTTCACATTTCCTACGGTCCTTCCCATCACTCAGACCCCTTTGGCCCAGCCTCTGAGGCCAACAGCTGGGGCTGCTGAGAGCCAAGTTAGAAGCACGGTTGAACGAGATGCTGGGGAGTGGAGGGAGAAGTCAAAACTAAAGTAGAGCGACCGGAGCCACCCTTCACACCCCCACGTCGGCGTTCCCACACTTGCAAAAACCAAGTGACTTCCAAGTGCTTCCCCTACCCAGGAGCACTCCTTCCACCAGTCCCCTTTCAACTCTCTGGCCTCCCTTGTGACCCCTGATGGTGCTCGCCAAGACGGTCCCCTCAGCCACAGGAGTCTGCAGTTGCCCAGAGTGCACCCTGACTCCCATGCCAGTAGGGATGCCCAGGTCCTGGACCTTCCTGGGACCCGGCTAGGTCCATACCCCAAAATGATTCTGATAGCAGCCACCTTGCCTAATCCCTTCCCGGGCCTGCAAGACCCACTCCCTTCCAAGCCGCTCTAGCACCCAGCATCACTCCAGGTGCCCCAGGGATACCCCAGGGTTCTCAAATCTCACCTGAGTCCGCTCGAAGCTCTCGCGCTCCGCAGCCTCCATCCCAGCACCAACCCCGCGCCGGCTCAACACTTTGGGCAGCGGGTTGGGTACCTGCTTCATGGAGCTGGCCATCCGGTCCATGTTGTCTGGGTGAACAGAGTCAGGGGCCCTCGGCCGCCCCGGGATCCCCGCGGCGCCTCCCGCCCCTCCCTACCCGCGGGGATCCGGCGCTAACGGAGACAGCTTCCGTCTTCCATTGGTTGGCAGCGCTGTCCATCTCCCTCAGGACCCACCCCATCTCTCCAAGAGGCTTTTCCCCACATCCCTCTTCCCACTTCGGAGGCGCTCCGCTCTCTTCACCGGCTGGTCCGCCTCAGGGCGGTCGGCATGCTGTGACTGGTCTGAAGGTTTGTCCATTATCATTAGTGGGCAGGACCTGGTGGGCTGCTGTCCCAGCCTGCCCTCGAAGCGCTCCGCCCCATGATCGATGCACCGCCTATCAGGCCTATGAATACACTGCCATTGGTCTGAAGACTTATCTGTCAACACAGCAGGGCTGGCTTCGCGGGCGGCCCTAACCTTTTCTTGCTGGCTCCATCCAACATCCTTCACTCCTCCTCTGTCCCCACCCTCCAGGACCAAAGAAGCACCATGATTGCTCTGAAGGCTTATCCGTCATCCTAGTGGGCGGGGCCTGGCTGCCACCGACCAGCCCTTGCAGACACCCTACTTCGAAGCGCCACCTCCTGGGTCCTTTTCTGCTGCGGGTTTCTGAGTACTAAGAACTGCGGTCCAGCTGGCGCCACGAGTTCCCGAGGGGACGGAAAGGCAGATCAAGGGAAGTATGGCTGCACAGCTTTTACCAGGCTTTCCGGGGAACTCCGCGTCAGTGTGGTCCCGCGATGGCGGCCTTAGATGTCCTCAAAGTCTCCTCCCTATGCATTCCTATCTGTCCGTTCTGGAGGATTGCCGACCCGGGTCCCCAAGTTCTGGACCATGACTGCGGGTATCCCTCCAGAGTTTTTCAAACTTTGCTTCGTTCTCACCTTACCTTGGTAGAAACCCCAGCGGATGCTCCTTGTTTGTCCACTCCTCCCATCCTGCTCTGGGAGCATCCATAGACTGGGACGTGTGCTCCTCAGCAAAGAAAAAAAGTTACACGTTCTCCACGAACAGAACTAGTGGCACCGTTAAGCATGAAACACTTTGATGGTGCTATCCATCTGTCTATGTAACAGAGCCCAATACAAGTCTCACTTGTACTAAGCAACGTGATTTTTTTTGTTTGGTTGGTTGGTTGGTTTGGTTTTTCGAGACAGGGTTTCTCTGTGTAGCCCTGGCTGTCCTGGAACTCACTCTGTAGACCAGGCTGGCCTCGAACTCAGAAATCCGCCTGCCTCTGCCTCTCAAGTGCTGGGATTAAAGGCATGCGCCACCACCGCCCGGCCTGCAACGTTTTAATTAATTAATGACAGCATCAAACTCATTATGTAGCTGAGTCCCTTGAATCCCTGATCCGTTCTCTTGCCTATTCCATTCAAGTGTTAGGATTACAGGTGTGGGCCACTATGCTTGACTTTTCTTAATGTATGTGTATTGTGTACTTGTGTGTATGTGTGGTCTGTGTTCACACTGCAGTGCACCTGTGGAGGTCAGAAAGCAAATAAGATTCTCTTCTCTACCATGAGGATCCCAGGGATCTGACTTGAGTGATAGGCTTAGTAGAAACTTACCCACTGAGCTCTCACTCCAGTAAGACTCTTTTTTTTTTGTTTTGTTTTTTGTTTGTTTTTTCAAGACAGGGTTTCTCTCTGTAGCCCTGGCTGTCCTGGAACTCACTCTGTAGACTCTGTAGACCAGGCTGGCCTCGAATTCAGAAATCCACCTGCCTCTGCCTCCCAAGTGCTGGGATTAAAGGCGTGTGCCACCACCACCCGGCTCCAGTAAGACTCTTAAAGACATTGTTTCAAGACGATTGGTGGTGGTCCATAGTTTTACTCCCAGCACAAAGGAGGCAGAGACAAATGGATCTCTGAGTTCAAGGCCAGCCTTGTCTATAAAGTGAGTTCCAGGATAGCCAGTACTGCACACACACATACACACACACACATACACAAAGATAGTATTTCACTCAGTAAAAAGTCTAGACTGGCCTTGAACTCCCAGAAATCCTGCCTCAGCCTCTTGAATGCTAGGTAGGATTACAGGTATACACCTTTATGCCTATGACCCATGGATTCCCCCAGCCTCCCACAAAGAAAGAGGTGCAGTTTGCAGGAGTGTCGATCTGTGTGTGTGTGCCCGCGTGCGTGCACATGGAGATCTGAGGCTGATGTCAGGGATCATTGTCACTCTTGCCTCTTGCCTCGAGGTAGGGTCTCATGAAACCCAGAGCTTATTGATATGGCTAACCACACTAGCCAGTTTGCTCTGAAGAGTCTCTGCTTCCCTCTTCAGAGGCTGGGACTTTCAGGCAGGCCACCACACCCTGCTAGCATAGGGTCCTGGTTATGGCGATGCAGACACTTGGTCAGCAACCGCCTGAACTACTGTGCCATCACCGGGAGAGGAGTTTAGTTTGAAAATGCCAATGGTTTCTTTTAAACTAGGAAGCTTGGGTAAAAATTCACATTTGATAAAAGCATAAAAGAGGGAGTGAACATTTGCAAGGACCAAGGAGCCGCTGACGGCTTCTGCTGTGCACAATGGCATCGTGGGCTCCAAGTGACAAAGCCGAGATGACAGTGGTCCAAGGGAGTAGGGTCAAAAGTACACTAGCATCTTAGTTAGGGCTCCTGTTGCTGTGATGAAACACCATGACCAAAAGCAAGTTGGGGAGGAGAGCGTTTATTCAGCTCAGACTTCACATCATAGTCCATCCCTGAAGGAAGTCAGACCAGGAACTCCAAAAGGACAGAAGCCTGAAGCAGGAGTTGATACAGAGGCCATGAGAGAGTGGCTTGCTCCTCATAGTTTGCTCAGCCTTCCTTTCGATAGAAACTGGGACCAGTAGCCCCATCCACAATGAGCTGGGCCCTCGCTGCTAGTTAAGAAAATTCCCTATAGTTGGATCTTCTGGAGGCATCTTCTCACTTGAGGTTCCCTCCTTTCAGTTGAGTCTAACTTGTGTCAGGTTGACAGAAAACTAGCCAGGACAGCTGGGGAGACAATGAACCTCTAGAAAAGAAGAGGAGAAACTCTGCCTCATAAGGAGTCATGTGAGTAAGCTTGTGCCAAGGGGATGTGGGAAGACGGACTTCAGAGGTCCAGGGTGACAGGAGGAGTAGCTTGAGACTATATTTGTATAAGAAGGATGTGGGTTATAAATTGCACTCTGATGGGAAGGAATGCGTAAGTGTGTTTGGGCACCATGTGTTGAGGTATCTATTGGTGACATGTGTGCAGGCGCCTGCAGAAGCCTGAGGGGGTGTCACATTCCACAGAGTCATAGATGGCTGTGAGCCACCCCACATGGAAACCACCAAACTTTGGTCCTCTGGTAACTGCTGAGCCATCTCTCCAGCCCTCAACACTCTTACCTTGTGTGTTAAAAACAAACAAGCAAACACACACACACACACTTATTATGTATACAGTGTTTTGCCTGCATGTATGACTGCACATCAGAAGAGGGCACTAGATCTCATTACAGATGGTTGTGAGCCATCATGTAGTTGCTCAGAATTGAACTCAGGACCTCTGGAAGATCAGCCAGCACTCTTAACCACTGAGCCATCTCTCCAGCTCCCTACCTTGTGTTTTTTTGAGACAGGATTTTCTTTCTGGCCTTGAGCTCACTAAGAATGCCAACAAACCCTAGGGATTCCTCCACTTCTGCTTCTTGGATTACAAGGAAAACCCACCAAATCTTTTTTGTCTTGATAGTGGTGGTGTGTGCATGGATGCATGTTTGTGGGTGTGTTATGTATATTCAGGGACTAAATTCAAAGTCCTTGTGCCCGTGAGACAAGTACTTTGTCAACTGATCTATCATCCCCAGCACCCAAGGGAATGATTTCAATGAAGAACACCAGCAGAATGGACAATGCTCCTAGCACTCTGACCCTGGTGTGGCCATTCTGAGTTCCACACTGATCTTATGCTCTGGGCTCAGCTAAAGACAGATTTAGGTCTCCTTGTCCAGATTTTATGGCATCAATAAACACCAGCCTTTTAAACAAGGATTAAGGGATCAGTCGAGTTCTTATTAGAGTAAACCAGAGTGGGAAGGAGGAATTTGTGGTTTGGAGGCACTGGGCAGGGAAAGATTCAAGACAGTTAGTTTTCCTGTGAAATAGAACAGGTCAAAAGAAGGAGTCAGGGCTGGGGGTGGAGGATGAGCCCATTTGTCAATGTGCTTGTCTAAGCAGCCAGGAAGCCCTGGATCCCATCCCCAGTACTGAGTAAACCTGGCACAGGTTGATGGTATGTGCTTATCATCCCAGGACTCAGAAGACGGCCAGGAGGCTCAACATTCAGGGTCATCCTTGACTACATATCAAGTTCCAGACCAGCCTCGGCTACATGAGACCAGCCCAGAATTACAAGACAGGGCAGTGAGATGGCTCAGCAGCTAAAAGCCACCTGCAATCCCACTTGACAATGTGAGTTTGATTCCCAGGAGCCACACGGAAGAACAAGAAAACTGACTCCTGCAGTTTGCCGTCTAACCTCCACATGGGTAAACACACATGCGCACAGTTAATGCAGGTTTGGAGAGATCAGTAAGTTGCTGTTCAGAGCTAAGTTCCTAGTGCGCTTTTCAAGCGGCTGATAAACATCGTTATCTCCGACTCCAAGGGGCCCTGCGTCCCTTTCTGTCTCCCAAGGTACCTGTAACGCGCAAAGCATATCCCAGATACGCTTGGATCTATTTAGAATCTGGTTTGATATCTACAAGTGTCATTTGGAGTCTGCAGAGCCCTGGCTGGGAGAGCCAGGTTCTTGCATCTCAGAGCAATTGAACCAGGGTCACCTGGAGAGCAAGAGAAACAGAGACCATTTATTAAGAATGACATGCAGTGGAAGGGGCGGGGCCAGCAAGCTGGAGAAGAACAGAAGTCAAATGCCCCTGGGTCTTTTTCTTTTTTTTCTTGTCTTTCTTTTACTTCCTTTTTTAACCAAGAAAAGTTTTATTTGTCTTTTTTCTTGCAGTAGCTTTGTTAATTGCACAAA